CATCCAGAGGCTGATCCAGCACGGCGCCAGGCGCATCGTGGTGCCGGGGAACGTGCCCATGGGCTGCTTGCCCATCATCCTGACGCTGTACGCGAGCCCGGACCCGTCAGACTACGACACCGCTACGGGTGCCTGCACGAGTTCAACGGCCTGGCGCGCTACCACAACGAGCAGCTCCGGATGCAGGTCCAGGCGCTCCGGATCAGGCACCCACACACCGCCATCGCCTTCGCCGACTACTACCAGCCCGTCCTCGCGTTCCTCACGACCCCGGCCCTCTTCGGTGAGATAACCATTCACCCTAGCATTCAAGGTGGGCGAAACCAAGCTGAGAGATGCTGGTGCAGGATTCGACGGGAACACGACGCTGGTGGTGTGCTGCGGCGCGGGGCGCCGGCGGCGGCAGGTACAACTACAGCGGCGGTGAACTGGGACGGCATCCACCTCACGGAGGAGGCGTACGGGGACATCGCCGAGGCGTGGCTGCGGAGGCCGTCGGCGGAGCCGCCCATATTGAGCCTCGTCTGACCCGTCGCCTCGTCCAAACGCCTACTACAAATAAGGTACTTACGTTATTTTACAAGCCACTTCACATTGTTACATGTTGAAATAGACAGTTGTATTATTTACGGAAGAAAATTTCAACTTGATGCCAAATAAAAAAATTCAAAAATTTTAATGCCAAATATAAAAGACTGGTTTATTTCAGTGCCAAATAAATAATTCTCCATCCATGATTCTTCGCCCTGACCGGTAGAGAGAGCCCGAGAAAGCGGAGATTACGCAAGAAAATGTTAGAGGATGACACGTGAGTGCTAATGGATTTTTTTTAACTTTTTCATTGTTTTCTATGTGAATGTGAGGTCGAATAATGACATGAATGATGAGTCAGCAAACTGCGGTTCCGGCCTGGTTTAGACTGAGGTTAGAAATCAGTATTTGGTATTGTAGCACTTTCGTTTATTTTTAACAATTATTGTCCAATCATGGCCTAACTAGGCTTAAAAGATTCGTCTCGTAATTTATAATCAAACTGTGTAATTAGTTATTTTTTTATCTATATTTAATACTCTATAATGTGTCCAAAAATTTGATATGATAAAGAGAGTGTGAAAAAACTTACAATGTAAACGAGGCCTCCGTATGACTCTTTGCATGCGTACGTACGCAAAGTAGGTCAACGGAAATACAGTAGAGAGCATCCGGTGGTGTTGTAATCACTTTCTGTTTTTTTTACTCTGAGTAGTAGTCTAGTAGTATCCATGTCCCACGGACTATGCTTATGTTTCCCCGATGATTTCTGCGGCTAAAACTGATTTATTATGAGAAAAAACATTATTTTATAGCTGATAAGGTTCGGTTTAGATTCCAAAAATTTTCATCTTAAAGTGTCATATCGAATCTTGCGGCACATATATAGAGTACTAAATAAAGATGAAAAAAAACTAATTGCACAGTTGAGTGAGAAATCACGAGACAAAACTTTCAAACCTAATTAGTCCATAATTAAACACTAATTAATAAATATAAACGAAAATACTACCATAGCCAAACAGTATCAAATCCAAAAAAATTTAGAAACTAAACGAGCCCTAAGTCTAGTCGATAAGTTCAACGAACCGGACCGATGATTATAGATTCTCGTTTGCGGCCTTCACAGTGTCGGCCGGCCCTACGTTCTGACTTCTGAGTAGTTCCCGATGGATTGATGTGCACTGAAACTGCTGCTGCAGTGTGACGCCCGGCTCCTCACGCCTTGTTCCTAGTTTCCACCTCAACTTCAAAAAAGTTGCTACAATATCTGTCACATCAAATATTTGTGGTTCGTGCATGAAGCATTAAATGTAGATGAAAAGAAAAACTAATTGCACAGTTTGGTGGGAAATTACGAGACAAACGTTTTGAGCCTAATTAGTTCATGTTTAAATACTATTTACCTAAATAAAACAAAGATGCTACAGTAGTCCCAAAATCCAAATTTTACGAACTAAACAAGGGCTCATCAATTCAATACTGGCAGCTCAGCTCCCAGTCCCCAAACGTCGCAGGCAATGCAACAAAAGGTTTGGCATTCCGAGTCGGATTCCCGGACACAAGCTGCAGCGACAGGACGTGTTGGATTCGTCGCTAAACGTTGCGAAGTCGTAGTTTTATAGTTTTACGAGAACTAAAGAATTCCTCTTTGGCATTGACACCGGGAAGAAATGACGTGTTGGATTCGTCGCTAAACGCTATTTCGTAGTTTTTCTTTCTTGAGAATTCCTATGACACGGAAGAAATGACCCGTTTCTTTCTTTTCTTTCTTGATCCTCAAAATTTTCGTTCTCTATTTAACATCGATTCAACTTTCATTCCTTCCATGACACTCCATCGCGTTTTTCATCCGGCCACCGTTAACTACGCTGTGAAAAGACGATTTTGCCCTGTGGGCCCCACCACCCTTCTCCCTCCTCTCCTCCTCTAGGCAGTCGCCTCGCTCCCTCCGTCTCCCCACAGTCGCGTAGACGCGCCCGTCCCTCCCGATGGCGCCCTCCACTCTCTCCCTCTCTCCACTCTCTCTCCCTCCCTCCAACTCTCCATTCGGAGCCCCTCACCCTCCCGAGCACGGCGGTGGTCCTCCCTTCCCATGGCGCGGCAACGCTCCTCCCTTCCCTAGGTGCGGTGGCGCCCCTCCCTTCCCTAGGCGTGGTGGCGCCCCTCCCTTCCGCGCTCCTCCCTCTCCTCGATGGCGACCGGCGGTGGACTAGAAGCGACGTCGACGGTGGCGCGGTGGAGCAGGCGGCCGCAACGACGACGGTGGAGTCCAGCGAGATCCGGCCTCGGGCCTCGCGGATCTGGCCTCGGGGCGCGTGGATCCAGCAGATCCAGCCTCAGGGCTCACGGATCTAGCCTCGGGGCGCGCGGATCCGGCCTCGGGCGACCGGCGGTGGACTAGAAGCGGCGACGACGGTGGCGCGGTGGAGCAGGCGGCCGCAACGACGATGGTGGAGTCCGGCGAGATCTGGCCTCGGGGCGCGCGGATCCACCCACGGATCTGGCGAGCTCGCGGGCGGCAAATCGAGGGCGGGCACGAGCGCGGCAGCGGCTGGATCTGTTGGTGGGGAAGCCAGATTCGGCTCGACGGTGGAGGATGCACCCCGGCGGCGGATCCAGCGAGCGTCGACGGCTGCCCGTGGATGGGCTCGGCGGGCCCATGGGTGGCAGGGACGGCCGGCGGCCTTCTCCTCAGGTGGCGCGGCCGCGGACTGGGGGAGGACACGACGGCTTGGAGGAGAGGAGGGAGAAGGGTGGTGGGGCCCATAGGGGCAAAATCGTCTTTTCACAGCGCAGTTAACGGTGGCCGGATGGAAAACGCAACGAAGTGTCATGGAAGGAATGAAATTTGAACTCGGTGTCAAATAGGGAACGAAAATTTTTCGACGGCCAAGAAAGGAACGTGTCATTTCTTTAGTGTCAAATAAGGAATTATCTCTAGTTTTATGTGTTTGGTTTCATAGCTAAAGTTTAGTTGGCTAAATCTAATCTCATTTAGTAATTTTTTCCTTAAACACTATGACTAAATAGGACTAAAAGAGGCTTTAGCCAACTACCTCACCTTTTAGTCTCATTTAGTCGCTTTAGAGCCAAACACCTTAACTAAAAGGGACTAAAAGACCTCTTTTAGTCACTCAAATAAACACCCAATAACTAAAGTTTAATCAATGGTTTAGCTACTAAAGTTTAGCGAGGAGAAACAAACACTGCTAGCCGGTGCAACTTGCTGCCGATACTCAGTCTGTTCGGTTGGCCAACGAAATGTGAGCTAGCGAGTGTGGTAATGCACCGATACTCAGTCTGTTCGGTTGGCTGGTTCATATCGTTGCTGGTTCGTGAAAAAATACCGCTGACTGGTTTGTGTGAGAGAAAAATACTATTCCGGCTGAAAATTTACGATCATTTACGACAAGCCGTAGCCAAACTAACACTTTCTTTGGGCGGTAATTGAATCGGACTCCACGTAGTTGACTGGAGATCAAGCATTCAAACAAGGTGAAGACTTTGGGGGCGTGTTTGGTCCGCGTCCTAACCATGGTGCGTTGTTGTATTTGTACTGCGGCCTCCGCGCCGCGTCCCGCTGTAGAGAAAACGCGAGCGCTAGTTCAATCTAGCGGTCTATGACTCTACGTGTCTCCGGCGGTGGAAAAAATTATCGATTATAATGGGGTGTTTGGCACGATTTTCTTGATCGTGGAGGTGAGGCGACCGTCGATTTGATTTTAAACGATTCTGAATAGGCCTTTATTATTGTTAATTAATCAAGATGAACCGTGGCCAGCCCGGAAAATACAAAATAGAAGGTACCCTATTTTAACTTTTGCATTGGTCACATCACATATTCACATGCAAGGCTGTGGTGGGTACTTGTTGTCACGTACTCCGTACGTACACTACTCGCTCGTGCCAAACTCTTGGCCCAGCAGAGCAGCAAACACCCACTGACATGCAAGGTCCACAGCTCATACGGTCACGGTCACGGCTGACCCGACCGCTTCTCTCGGTTCGGGGGCCGTCAGCCAGCCCTGGTTTAGTTCGAGAAATTTGGATTTTGGGGCTACTGTAGCATGTTTGTTTTTATTTGGCAAATAGTGTTCAAATATGGACTAATTAGGCTCAAAACGTTCGTCTCGTAATTTCTCACCAAACTGTGCAATTAGTTTTTCTTTTCGTCTACATTTAATGCTCTATGTATGGGCTGCAAACATTCGATGTGACAGGTACTGTAGCAACTTTTTGATACTGGGGGTGAACTAAACACGGCGCTGCCTCTGCCTCTGCCTCTGCCTTCGCTCATTCAGCCATTCCATTCCTCGAAGCCCTCAGCCCTGCACGCGCCCACGCCCTCCCTCCCTCTCCTCTCCCTCCTCGCCCACCCCCACCCGCAACAAGCACCACGCGCCGGCCTGTCCCTGTCCGTCCCAGCTCACGCGCGCAACAGGCCGGGCGCGCGCCGCGCGGGGGCGATGGCCTCCGCCCGCCTCGTCGCGCTCGCCGTCTTCCTCCTCCTCCTCTTCGCCCTGGGCCCGGGCGAGGCGCGCGCGGCGGACGACGGCGAGGTGCGCGCGCTGCTGGCGCTGGGGGCCGCGCTGGACCCGACGGGCCGCCTGCTCCCGTCGTGGGCGCCCGGCCGCGACCCCTGCGCGCCGCCGCCGTCGGGGGGGTTCGAGGGCGTCGCGTGCGACGCCCGCGGCGCCGTCGCCAACGTCTCGCTGCAGGGGAAGGGGCTCGCCGGCACGCTCCCGCCCGCCGTCGCGGGCCTCCGCTCCCTGACGGGGCTCTACCTCCACTACAACGCGCTCCGCGGCGGCATCCCGCGGGAGCTGGCGGCGCTCGCCGCGCTCACCGACCTCTACCTCGACGTCAACAACTTCTCGGGGCCCATCCCGCCGGAGATCGGCGCCATGGCATCACTGCAAGGTACTGCCTCTCTACCTCTATCTAGTCAGATGCGCGTCGAGATTCCTCGGAACCTTCATCGCCACCCTGCTCGTGCCGCACGCTCGCTGACTCGCATAGGCATGCATGTGGGCGATGTGGCCGCGCCGTGGACTCTGCCTGCGTTGCAGTTGCTCCTCGGATCGATGATTGGTTCGCTCGCTCCCTCCCTGTGTTTTTAATTCGTTTTCGGTCGACTTGCTTGGCGTTTCTCCACTCCAAGTCAATCAATTCAAATCAAAAACTAAAATGCGGCTTTACCTAACTACTCGTACCATGTATCCGTTGAATTTTTGGAAGAGGTCATGTTGCCGTCCCAAGTCGCAACCAAGCAGGAAGCAGCTCCTGTTGCTCAGATTGCAACGTTTCTTGGCCCATTGCCAACATTTCCTTTCAGATTTACTCCCATTTTTGTTACCCCTCTACTCATAGTACGGTCATACCAAATCAGTACTATCCCCAATCGGACGGTTTTTGTTAATGCTGCTGATGTTGATGTGTCCATGGCCGTGCAGTGGTGCAGCTCTGCTACAACCAGCTCACCGGGAGCATCCCCACGCAGCTGGGCAACCTCACCAGGCTCACCGTGCTAGCCCTGCAGTCCAACCGCCTCAACGGCGCCATCCCGGCCAGCCTCGGCGACCTGCCGCTGCTCGCGCGCCTCGACCTCAGCTTCAACGCCCTCTTCAGCTCCATCCCCGTCAGGCTCGCGCAGCTGCCCAGCCTCGTCGCGCTCGACGTCAGGAACAACTCGCTCACCGGCAGCGTGCCCGCCGGTAATGCCTCCATCCATCCATTAGTCCGGCCGGCGTCGATCGATTCTTGAGAGCAATAAACAATAATGCTGATTGGTTTTCTGCTTGCTTCGTCCCAAGAACTGGCCGCCAAGTTGCAGGCCGGCTTCCAGTACGGGAACAACAGCGACCTGTGCGGCGCCGGGCTGCCCGCGCTCCGCCCGTGCAACCCGGCGGACCTCATCGACCCCGACAGGCCCCAGCCCTTCAGCGCAGGCATCGCGCCGCAGGTCACGCCCTCCGGCGGCGGCGGCGGCAACGGGCGCGCGCCATCGACCAGGGCGCTCGCGGCCGTGGTCGTCGCCGCCGTGGCCCTTCTCGCAGCCACGGGGGTCGGCCTGTTCGCGCTCTCGTATCGCCGGTGGCGACGGCAGAGTGTCGCGGGGGGCTCGCCGTCGACGATCTCCGGCGGCCGGTGTAGCACGGAGGCCGCGCCTTCGGCGGCGAAGGCGTCGCCGTCGGCTCGCAAGAGCGCGTCGTCGGCGCTGGCGAGCCTCGAGTACTCCAACGCCTGGGACCCGCTGGCCGACGCGCGCGGCGGGCTGGGCTTCTTCTCGCAGGACGTGCTGGTCCAGAGCCTCCGGATCAGCACGGAGGAGGTGGAGTCCGCGACGCGCTACTTCTCCGAGCTCAACCTCCTCGGGAGGCGCGGCAAGAAGGCCGGCGGCATCGCGGCCACGTACAGGGGCACGCTCCGCGACGGCACCTCCGTTGCCGTGAAGCGGCTCGGCAAGACGTGCTGCCGGCAGGAGGAGGCCGACTTCCTGAGGGGGCTGAGGCTGCTCGCGGAGCTCCGGCACGACAATGTGGTCGCGCTGAGGGGTTCTGCTGCTCCAGGGCGCGCGGGGAGTGCTTCCTCGTCTACGACTTCGTGCCCAACGGCAGCCTGTCGCAGTTCCTCGACGTCGACGCCGACGCAGACAACGCCGGCGGCGGCAGCGGCCGTGTCCTCGAGTGGTCCACGAGGATCTCCATCATCAAGGGCATCGCCAAAGGTACCTCGAGTGGAGCACCACACCCTGTCACTCTCTTGCTATCAGCTGGTTAGCAGTGTCCAGCCCTGTTTAGTTTCTTCCCAAAATGCTAAATTTTTCAAGATTCTCTGTCACATCGAATCTTTGACACATGCATGAAGCATTAAATATAAATAAAAAATAAAACTAATTACATAGTTTAGACAAATCCACGAGACGAATCTTTTAAGCTTAATTAGGCTATGATTAGACATTAATTACCAAATAACAACGAAAACGAAAACGCTACGGTGTCACTTTGTCAAAAATTTCAGCAACCAAACTACCTCGCTACTGATCCCCCACTGATCCCCCACTAGTGGTTTTCTGATGCCCACATCTTTCCTGGATTCACACGTAGCACTGTTCATACTTGTTCACATACAGTACTACTACTAGTTGTCTTTATGATCGGTCGATTTTGCCTGAAAACACATGGTATGCATGCAAACATTTGGCACCGACTCTACAAATTTGCCAAGTTTGTGTGTGTCATGCATGGGCGCATTGATTCATTCAATCGGTGGATGTCCAATTTATAGTTTATTTGACCTTTTTATCCTGAGAGGCTGAGACTACTCGTTTTATTTAAAAAATTATGCAAAATATTACTTCTTTTTGTTGTAGCTTGCTTTATTAACAAAAGTTTTTCAAGAATGACTTAAATTTAATTATATTTGCATAATTTTTTTTAATAAGACGAGTGGTCAAATTTGAGATTGAAAAAGTCGAAAGAACTATAATTTAAAAGAGAGGGAGTACATCGATTCATCCGTGCTGCGCTGGTCGCTCACATGGTGTGCAGAAACCTGTGACTGAGCAGGACAGGGACGCAGCAATAGTCACATTCTGAAAGTCTGAACTTTGTCTGCACTGAAAAGCTCTGCATGACATGTCTCAAAACCTTTTGTGCTACTTTTATCAGAGTAACCGTCTCTATCAGTGTGAGATATCGGTAATTTTTAGCACTTGCAGCCGTCTAAATTCTGCATCTTTTTGGTGTTCCAGGAATTGAGTATCTGCACAGCACAAGGACGAACAAGCCCGCCCTCGTCCACCAGAACATCTCAGCGGACAAGGTCCTGCTGGACTACACGTACAGGCCCCTCATCTCCGGGTGCGGCCTGCACAAGCTCCTCGTGGACGACCTCGTCTTCTCGACGCTCAAGGCCAGCGCGGCCATGGGGTACCTCGCGCCGGAGTACACCACCGTGGGCCGCTTCTCGGAGAAGAGCGACGTCTACGCGTTTGGGGTCATCGTGCTCCAGGTGCTCACCGGCAAGAGGAAGGTGACGACGACCCAGTTGCCGGACAACGTCGATGAGCTCGTCGACGGCAACCTGCAGGGGAATTACTCCGCGGCCGAGGCCGCCAAGCTGGCAAAGATCGGCTTGGCTTGTACCAGCGAGAACCCGGACCAGAGGCCGACGATGGTAGAGCTGCTCCAAGAACTGGGCACCATCTGATGGAGGTGCAGCAAACACCCATCCACTGTAACCGTTTCATGCAAGAGTCACATGTCTGACAGTGTGTCATAGGCCTGTTGTAACCTAGCTACCTGTCTAGGATCACAAGTCAGTAATCACTGATCTTAGAAAGCATCTGAGCTAGGCTCTACTAATTAGCTAGTAATCACTGATCTTAGGAAGCACATGCCTAGGATCATGAGATCTTGTAGCTAATGATGTGTCGTTACCACCGCTCTGAAAAGTGTGCATTGTTTGGATGCCGACTTGGATGTGCTCTAGCCTCTTCTACATGGTAGTAGACCAGTAGGTGAATGTGAATGCAGCCATTTCCCGCAACACTTTTTTGTGGAGATCTTCACCTGTTTGCTTGCTTATAAGCCGTACTATTTCAACCAACGAACAATATTTTTCTCTCACAATAAATCAGCCAACAATACTTTCAACCAACGCTTATCAGCCAAGCGAACATGTCATATAAGTGATTTTGGGAGTTGGGACCCTTATCTTATTCGGAAGCTTCCCTATAGCGCGTATACCAATAACCTTCGCCTTCACTGTACCATCACTAGTCTTTTGAAAAAGATGGCGAGTCTCAAAAGAAAACATAAAGGCCCCGTTCGTTTGGAGGAATTTGAAGGAATCTGGAAGAATTTGTGAGAGGAAAACACTCTTCCGGATAAAAAAAGAAGCGGATCAAGCTGGATTTAAGGGCACACGAACGGGGCCAAAATTGAGACAGGGGAAGAATGTTTGGGTTTATCCCAAAGTAACACAGAGGTTTGTCCCTAAAACTTTAAGAAAAGTTCATAAAAATATCTATAGTATTCTTGTTTGATGCTAGAGAAAGGTAAATAAATATGTTATCAAAATATATTGTAAAAAATGTATTTCGGTCAAAAAAGTGTGTCCACAAAAAAGTGTTTCACAGTGTGTAAAAAATATATTTCGGTCAAAAAAATGTATGCCAATTTGGCTCGATCCTCCTGGACCTGGGGTGAAATGGCTGGCACCATCCCAGCAGGGAGGAAGGAGCCAATAGTCCTGGAAGGCATGTGACCTATAGATTGTTGTGTTGTCTTGTTTGTTGTTCGTGTTTGGGGTCCTGGCTTGTGATCACGCACAGGGGCAGTCAGGTGATGAAATCTCAGAGACCGTGAAAGCGCACGGTGGTCCTGGGCTTTTTGTGCTAGAGGTTGAGAGGCTGGACAAAATAGACTCTACCAAGCAATAAAATAAAATTATACGTAACACTGAAGAACAAGAACGCAGCTGATCCAAAAGAACGACACCCAAGGTGAGGCTGCATTGCTATGTGACACTGCTTATTTTGTAGGATAGTGGATTTTGGAATGGAGTATTTGGAGCTAGTAAGGTTCATATGTTAGCCGCAGGTCTACAAAACCAGGTCATGTGGCACTAGTCATGCAATGCCGAACCTAGGCAATGCACCTATAAATTCAGGTAATGTACTAATGTACCCACTAAAAAGTAAAAAAGCATCAAACAAATAATTCCATTGTTTGTTAAGTTGGTTGACTTGATGTTTCATCATTTCGGTAATCGCAAGTGTATCTGTTCCATGTTTTGCTAGGATGGATAAGACCTAATGTTCAAGTATTTAGTGTAGATATTCAGTGTTAGATGTTCATTGTCAGATATCCCTTTTTTTTTGGTGTAGAAGAATGGCATTTACTGAATGTTAAAGCAGTAAATAGGATGAGGTGATGTCGCTAGACAAGCATTGGATATGTGAAGACGAATGATGTGGTGTTTAACATGAATGTATCAACGGCTATGTAGGGTATCTCGAAAAACTAAGAATTGAAATTATCCTTTTGTTTTCGTGATGGAATTTGGCTTTTTCGATAAAAGAAGTTCTATTCATCTCAATTGATTACTTTAGGAAGATACAATAGCACTAGGATCACTTTTGGCCTCTACACAACTAGGGTAAAAGAAGAAATACATGACAACATTTATCATGTCGTAGCAAGCTACACAACGCACAATGTAGTCTTCACTCCATCCACCAACATGGCAACACTTGGATCGCAATAAAAGGCTCTCCAAAGTCCGAAAACAATGTCCTCAAGAAGGACATGTCACGCGCACACACACCGTCGTTGCCGTAATCCAACAAGTAAAGGCTAAACCATAGGTTTTCACCATGTGGAGCAAATTCCTCGAACTTCAAACAATGCCTTCAACAAGGTCATTGCTAGTTACAACCAACCAAGGTCAAACCTAGGGATTTGTCTCCAGAGTGGAAGAACTAGTAACCACTATTACCACTAAAACGGAGATTCCCATTGCTGCCTCCACCCTGTTTCCAAGCCAGTTTCACCATACCACTCAATCTTGGCCAAGAACCAATGACTAGCTACTTACTCTACAATAGACAAATGATCATGTGTTCCACCACACGATGGCAGAGTCGCAAGCTAGACAATTGGCACATGATCTGAGTCTGCATGATCCATCTAAAAATGGGATATGTTGCCCAAGAGTAAGCGAATCTGTGAATCAATGCCAAAATGACGTCAGTCTTAGAGATTGTATGAAAGACACAGGCAAGAGATGAACACATCATTGTGAGGAGCACATTGACGACTACCATCAGCACCCGCATTGATTACTTGCAAGGATCAACTTGCATGAGGGCCACCGGTTGGAGACAAGTCAGGCAAATTTAAGCATGGGGAAGTGAAGACCCATATAGTTCGGTAGGGGAGGTAAAGCAGCGTGTAGTCTAGGACTTCCATGTTGCCCATGGGAACGACCACCCCCACCTCAATGTGCCCCACTATTGTAGCCACCATGTCCTATTCGTGGACATTGCCTTTGTAAGACCGTGGCTACCATATGTCGCCTTAGCCAAAACCAACAAGGTTGCAAGATGCCGTGAGGAAGAGGCAAGATCTAGTGTGGAGGAGAGGGCTCATTTAGGTAAACATAGGTTGGATCTAGTCAGCTCTGGTCAACCGAAATCATCACGCTGGCCAAGGAAGGATAAAACACCCCATTGCCATCTTCACTACCCGCCAAGTAAGGATTCAATTTCATAGCTTCAATTGAAGAATAATTGATGCTTCCTAACATATGACTCTCCATAGCTAGCTTGGCGCCTCAACATTGTGCCATTGCTTGATCACTTATGTGTCAATGTGTACCTTGATACCAAGTTCTTAGCTTGTCCTTTGAAATGAACCCATGATTTCCGCAAAGGTAAATGTCGCACCTCGTGACGGGGTTCGTCGTCTCAACCACGAGGCCCTCAGGAGAGTGCCTTCACACCTCCTCTTCAGGATCTTTGCATTGGGTTACACATACATTCCCAATATAAAGCATTCCGAACAACTCGCATTGTTAAACACTCAAGTCTCCAACATAGTTAAAACAACCTTTGATGATAAACGAACTTCAAAGAAATAATAGTTTGAGTTTGCTACACAACGATTCTCCTATTTGACTCTAAGTTACACTATTTCACTCATCAATACATCGGATTACACGCAGCTCATCTTGAAGAATGCCCAATCCAAGGTCTGCTAGCCTTGCACTGGATTGAGCTTTGCTCAAGCCAATGTCTTACACACCTGCAAAACAACTTATCGGCAACACCGTGAGTATATTTCATACTCGCAAGACTTAATTCCAACATATAAGTATTTGGTGGATGCAAGAGTATTATCATACATCTGTACATTTGCAGAAAAGAAATGGCGTTTCTTATAATGACATGCTTATGATTTATAATTAAAGATATTAGCATCTACAAGTTCATGATAGCAAGATAAGTGATCAACACCTGTAAATCATGTCATCATCAAGTTTTCTTATTTACACTACCATGGGTATAGAAAGTAGGAACAACCAAAGGGTTCTGTCCTGAAGGACTCTAGGCTTTCAACACTCTGCAGAGGTGTACAACTGTATCCACACGGAAAAATGGGACTAACCACCATACTCTGGGTCTGGTAGTAAGGGTTGCCTCATGATTTCCAACCTTTCCCTACTTCGGCCCGAATGTCACATGAAAGGTTCGACTGGTGCCCGTTTAATGCTACCACCATCTAACCAGCGCCACCTTCTTGCTAGTTTCACGGATAGACCGATCGCAACTAGTTATTAGGCTTGCCGTCCCCATATGCGACATGTTGTCTGTACGGGCGGTAACTCGAACTCATGTATCCCAATGCATAGTCCTTAACTGCTCCACGAGCTATGTCACATGAGATCCCACACTAACAGTGACCTACCCATCACTTGAGCAAGAATTACCAAATTGATCATCATGTTCATATCTCAAGGTTAAGTTGGGTCCTTAGTCAAAATTAGAGAGGTAGATAAGTTGTAACCCTCAATTCATTTTAACAGTTAATTATCCCGGTGTAGCAACCTACACGCGCAATTTTGAGTTTCCTTCTTATACTCGACTTCTAACGTTACTAAGCAATTAAGCAATTAAGCATTCCAAACCCATAGATTAAGTGAAAGGCTCTAATTACATAATGAGTAGTTCTAAATTAATGAAGCATCATTGAGTTGTTAACCAGATCTACATGAAATGCATAACTCATAATGAAACAAGATAAGCATCCAAAATAGGGTTCATAATAGTGGGGTGCCTGCCTGGTTATGCCATTCAAACGAATTCGAAGCCGACGATGAGGACCTATTCACGTTCCTCACGCTACTTGATTTCTTGAAAGAGACGAAGATTGGGATTGGGAGATAACCGATAAAAAGATCTAGAGATAAGGCTTGATTTGGAACTTGAGAAGAGGTGTTTAACATGGCTCTACTATTGCCCTATTTATGACTAAACTTATTCTAGTATTGTTGACCTCTTGGGTAAGCTCTCTAAACAAATTTCACATCTTTTGTTAATAGACGGATGCTCTGCTATAGGTGTCGGACTCTCCGTCGGGTCAGGCTTTCGGGTGACTTGGTTCTGTTTTGACTCTGGTTTAGCTTGACGGACGCTCCGTTATCTT